ATACAAACCTTTGACAAATATGGAAAATGATCAAACCTAAAAATTACTTAAAATAGTCCACTATGAGAATTAACCTTCCGTCTCCCACTGTGACCTACTTGAAAGATCAGTTCACTTGGTCTACATCACCAGTCCCAGGTGAATTATATAGAGATAAACTTCTCCCTTTTAGCTAAGACCATTACTTCAGTCCAAGGTCTGACAACAGATTTACTAATCAGGCTGACAGGATAGCTGACAGGATAGAGATCATAAAGATGAGCATTCTACCGAAAGTGCTATACTTACTACAAACAATCCTTATTGCTTTGCCACCCGCCTTAGACAGGGATATGTTTCAGGTGATGGAGAACTGCCCAGAATGATACATGTATCTTGACAGCCACTATAGGGACGGCTTCTGATATTACTAAGCCTGCCATCTAATGGGACTGGTAGACAAATGTCAACACACATTCTAGGGCAGAGGTGCTAAACCTGTTGGAAGAGTTAGGTCCACCAGAGTGACTCGGTAACCGGTCACAGACCACAATGAAATTAAATGGTTCAGATTTTTTATTTTTTTTTTACTTTGAATGGCATAATCAATATTTTCCTCCTGCAGCCCCTGAATGTCAGTGGGAGGCAGAGGAGGAGAAGTGGGATTTTCAGGAGGAAAATAGAGAGGATCGGTTCCTGTATACTGTATACCGCTCCTCCTGTCCAAATGTAAGACAAAATGTAACAGGGAAGGCTTCACAGGGCCCTCTGGAACACAGGGCGGGGGCGCCCCCCCAATCCATAAATGTAAACAAGCCTTTACTGTCCTGAACCCCCTATAAGGCTGCTTTCACATTGATGCGCTGCAGTTTAACCACAACACGAGTGCAGTGCAGTGCACCTGCGGCTTTCCTGCAGGTTAGCTGCATTTTGCCATAGACTATCTTGCAGGTGTGATGCACTTTCTGAAAAAACGCACCAAACCCACAGGATATAATAGACGTGCGCTTCCCTGGTTTGCGGTCGAGGGATACATCATAGAGCTCCGCGGGCCACAGGTTGAGCACCCCTGTTCTAAAGTATGGCTCAAATCAGAGGGTTGGGTACATTGCGGGTGTATTTCCTTCTGAACAGACAAAACCCATATACCTACAGATGTTTAACAACATTCATCAATTGGGGCATCACTGAAAGTGTTCACTACAGTATGCAAATCCTATTTATCCATGAAATGGAGGAAATTGTACACATCAAACAGGATAAGACTGATAGCTTTCATAATCCATAGTATTTCTGGACACATTTCAAGCCCAATCTATGCATCTACCATTGTAATCAGAAGTTTCCTAGGTTTCTTTTCCTTTCCCAGACATTAGGTACATAGTTGCAGCTCATACCATAGCTTGCAGTCAGGCCCTGGGTAGAGAAGATCTAGTGCTGTTCAGAAGGTGGCATGGATCCATCTAGCCAAGTACAAAAAGAGATTGATTGCTTGGGCAGGGCAAAGTGAGAGACAAGGCACCTTTGCCCCCTTTCCTTCACATATGCCTTCCCTAGAACCATTTCATCTGGCTTTCAGGTTTTTTTTTTTTAATCCACACAGAAAAAGGTAGACTTGGGCCCATGTCACACTTGCTATCCTGTTTCTGGTGCCAACTCACCAGCAACACTATCACTAAAGAGACTACTCACCTTGCACCTAAGCAGTCAATTCAATGTACAAAGTTCATGGCCAAGATGCTAATTCCCCAGCAAGGGAGCAGTTACTGAGCAACATCAACAGATTTGGTCTGAAAGGGGGCAGGTGAGTTTTCTTTCTGCCCCCATAGGGATCTTGTTACTGGAGAGCTGCTGCCAGCAACAGGATCACTAGTTTGCCTTACCTAATACATGTTTTACGCACATGTAAGTTGTATTTGCTGGCAACTACTAGCAACTCAGAACACTAGTCTTAAAATCTTTGATGACGGATGCAATTTACCTTTCCCATGGCCAAGTAATAGGCAATGAAAAAGCATCTTTTACTAACCTAAGGTTTTGTAGGAGCCTCTGCTTGGTTGAAGATATTTAATCTAATTTCCAAACTACCAACCAGTGGATTTAAAGCTCAGCATCAGCCACAATTTTTTTACAAATGTTTTAGAATAGGAAGGGATACAAGTGGTTTGATACAAAAAAAAAAAAAAAAAAAACCTGAGAGAGGTTTTACACCTTAAATATATTGCTACCCGTGTACAATCTGGAAAAACTTAACTTGCCTCTTTCTATTGGTGGCCATAAAAGAATAAGGGGAACTTTAATGTGAACCTGTGGCCAGGTAATGCACATTCGAGAATTTTAATTCTATTGAGAAGCAGTAAATTAAAGAGGTTGAGGAGTCCAGTAGTACTGAGCTGTAAAAAGGACACATAAGAAAATAAGAAGCTGTTCCTTATATCATGCTTGAGAACATGGGATAGTCCGGTATCTTGCATAGCGATTGTGGAATAATCTTGGAGAAAATTTTGGAGTTTGCATATTGGATTATTATCATAAAGGCTTTTGATTATTTTATTTAGGGTACAGGGGCGGACTGACAACTCATGGAGCCCCCGGGCAATAGGGGCTCATGGGGCCCATGTCCTTGCCCAAACTCAAAAAAGCCTATGAAAAAGGTACCAGGGGCATCTCATGGGGCCCCCAGGCAGTGCCCAAGTTTCCAAATGGTCAGTCTGCCCCTGTTGGGGTAAAAGTATTTACTCTAGCCACACAGAAGTGCTCACGGGGTGTTTTCCGTTTGTCACGTGTTTCACAGTTTTTTCACATATTGGCAATTTATGTATATATGTTATGATCATTCGAATATTGAGGATAATACACTATCCAGTCTCATACATTTTTTAGAGGTACACGTTGGAAATCGACCATACTTTTTGGATAATTATACTGAAGAAAAAAGAATTGAGAAGACTCACTGATACTAAGAGGGTTTTATTATTCATTTTGGACTTTCAAGGGTGAAAGTGTGACTTTTTAAGTGTCAAGCTTTAGGGTTATTGTTTTTGCATATTTTATTTAGTGTACTTGGACACCGGTTTTTGATTTTGTAGATCCAGCCCTGAGCTGAAAGCGAAATTGCTTCGGTAAACTTTGAGGACAAATTGCTCCACAGTGCCTGCTTGTTAGCAGTATACAAAACATTTAATATCAGTGGCTCACTTTAAAGGATAAATTCACCTTTGGGAACATGTTAAATGTTCCATCCGTTTTTACGGTGGAACATGTAACGTTTCCATAGCTGCAGCCGCCCCCCTCCCTCTGACAGATAGTACCGTGAAACTTCTCCCCATGCGATCTGTCAGATTTGAAAACAGTGCCGCTGTGCGGGGCTCCACCCACATGGCCACGTCATTAATTAATGGACTTCCATGAATGAATGCACTGGAAATCCCAGCAGTCTTAGCAGCTGTGGGCTTGTAGTATTCAATGAACTACCAAGGCACTGTGGAGCGCTGTGGTAGTTCATTGAAGCTTCCTGTCAGAATATCTGCTGAGCCGTACATCCCTGTACGGCAAACAGGTATTCTGACAGATCTGTAGGAGACCTGCATGGCATCAGCAATCTACTGATTGCTGGTGCAATGCTTTCCAGGTTCCTATGGACAAAAATTTTACCTGCAAAAAAAATGTACATTTATTATTTTTGTCTAAAAGGTGAACGTATCTTTTAAAAGGAATGTAGAAGGTTTTGAATTATTTATTATGTTAGCAATACATTTTTTTTTAAACTATTTTCAGGTGAAAATTAAAGATTGCATTAATATTTTATATTTACCTATTCACTTTTCTAGAAAAAAAAAAAAAAAAAAAAAAGTGAGAAGCAGATGTATTCTTTTCCAGAAAACTCTTAAAGCAACCTTAATCCAATAAAGCAAATTATTTCCACTTGGCTTATCCCATCTCCCTCAATCAGTTAAAATGTCCTTTTTCTAAAATTCCTATATTGGAATGACTTTGCGACCCTTCCTCCTCTTCATAAGATATCAACACCACACGTCCCAGAAGGCAGTTTTAGTGATGGGCACATGCACAGCGCGAAATGTGGTGTAGAGTTTCAGGACCTGGCAGAGTCTTGAGGTACATCTGCGCATGTCCAGGGTTTCCGGCGCTCAAACTTCCAGATACCAGAGCATGCACAGGTGTGCTGTATGTCTCACTGGTTCCTGAATACGTGGAAGAGGCCTTCATCATATCTGTGCACATGCAAGACATTCAAGAATGGCAGCGTGGGTGAGGAGGAGTGGGGCCAAAATAACATGGAGTGAAGTTCTTCTTTAATATTCATCTGTTAAATTGCTGTCATAGGTTCACCTGGTTTTACATTGCATTTGTTAAAAAAAAGATAAAGACTTTATAGAAATCAATGTAAATAGGAGATCTAATACAGTTTAAAAACATAAAAAACTTTCTGAAAAGAAACTAAATAAATTGATAGCAAATCCATCATAGTTGTTCTTTAAATAAAGAAAACTTTTCACCAATGGATTAAAGAGACAATGTAATCTTGTTCATTCAGGGAAAAGTGACATGCCCTGGCAACGAAGCCCTCAATGAAACCCACATAATTTAACTTGCCAACACGCCCCCACCACTCCTCCCTTTTGTCCAGTGCTTTTTGATATAGGGACCTCTTCCCTTGACAGTGATCAGGTCTAGCAGCCAACTGCAATGCAAAGGAAGTGATATCTCCCCTACCCCTAGTATCCAATATGGTGGCTGTAAAAGAGGGTATGGTGAGGAAGCGCTTGGCAAGAAGAATATCAGTGGGTTAGGAATTTCTTCTTTTCAAAAACCCAGGATGGGTGAGGTGACAGTGCCTCTTTAAATAACGCACACTGTAGTCAGTATTGTACCACAATTACCTTATAATGCTTTTCTTGCTGCATTATCACTCGTAGCTGTAGTTGAAGCTGTTCCAGAGGCACATTAGGAATGCTGTCATTTTTCCAGCCATCTTTATTCTCTAATTTAGGTGACTGTGGTGCACTGTGGCCAGCTACAGGAAGACAGAAAAAAAAACTTTAAAAGAGACCCTGTGGCCAGATTATTTATTTTAACAATCTTCCTAGAAGATTATATATCTAAAAGCTGAGCAATCAAAGACGGCTGATCACTTCTGTGAGTAGAGAGCTACAGCTCTCTGTTCTGCCCCTCCAGCACTCGCTGGAGCGCTGGGCTGTGGGGGTGGGCAGAAGGGGCTGGCTCAGGCTTTCGGCAGATTGCTGAGAGGCTGAGCAAGGTGCCGGTCCAGGCTTCTGGGTAGATCCTGACCTTACAGTCGGGTTCTTTTCAGAGCCTAAACCGGCTCTGTGATGTCAGTCGACAGCAGGCTTTAGCTGAAAACAGGGCACAGGACTGCAGAACGAACTGCACTCTTGTGAGCCCAAGGGAAGAGCTTTGACTATACCTCTCCTTTAAGCAACTTCCTTGACCCCAGCCTGTGGTTGGACAATGAAGGAGAAGCAGCAGATTGCTGGATTGCCTACATTTGCTTCATATCATTATGTTAAACAATAATGACTAGTTTCTATAAAGGCTCTTTATTTATTCATACCAGTAAACACATATCAGCAATCTGTTATATACTGGGTACATGGTGTGTATTTATTTATATGTACATTTTTTTTTTTTATTACACAGTGTGCGTGTGTAATATACAATGGGGCAAAAAAGTATTTAGTCAGCCACCAATTGTGCACATTCTCCCACTTAAAAAGATGAGAGAGGCCTGTAATTGGCATCATAGGTAGACCTCAACTATGAGAGACAAAAAAATGAGAAAAAAAAATCCAGACAATCACATTGGCTGATTTGGAAAGAATTTATTTGAAAATTATGGTGGAAAATAAGTATTTGGTCACCTACAAATAAGCAAGATTTCTGGCTCTCACAGACCTGTACCTTCTTCTTTAAGAGGCTCCTCTGTCCTGCACTCATTACCTGTATCAATGGCACCTGTTTGAACTTGTTATCAGTATAAAAGACACCTGTCCACAACCTCAAACAGTCACACTCCAAACTCCACTATGGTGAAGACTAAACAGCTGTCGAAGGATACCAGAAACAAAATTGTAGACCTGCACCAGGCTGGGAAGACTGAATCTGCAATAGGCAAGCAGCTTGGTGTGAACTAATCAACTGTGGGAGCAATAATTAGAACATGGAAGACATACAAGACCACTGATAATCTCCCTCGATCTGGGGCTCCACGCAAGATCTCACCCCGTGGGGTCAAAATGATCACAAGAACGGTGAGCAAAAATCCCAGGACCACACGGGGGGGACCTAGTGAATGACCTGCAGAGAGCTGGGACCAACGTAACAAAGGCTACCATCAGTAACACACTACGCTGCCAGGGACTCAGATCCTGCAGTGCCAGACGTGTCCCCCTGCTTAAGCCAGTACATGTCCGGGCCGGTCTGAAGTTTGCTAGAGAGCATTTGGATGATCCAGAAGAGGATTGGGAGAATGTCATATGGTCAGATGAAACCAAAATAGAACTGTTTGGTAGAAACACAACTCGTCGTGTTTGGAGGAGAGAGAATGCTGAGTTGCATCCAAAGAACACCATACCTACTGTGAAGCATGGGGGTGGCAACATCATGCTTTGGGGCTGTTTTTCCACAAAGGGACAGGACAATTGATCCATGTACAGGACAGAATGAATGGGGCCATGTATTGGGAGATTTTGAGTGCAAACCTCCTTCCATCAGCAAGGGCATTGAAGATGAAACGTGGCTGGGTCTTCCAACATGACAATGATCCCAAACATACCGCCCGGGCAACGAAGGAGCGGCTTCGTAAGAAGCATTTCAAGGTCCTGGAGTGGCCTAGCCAGTCTCCAGATCTCAACCCCATAGAAAACCTTTGGAGGGAGTTGAAAGTCCATGTTGCCCAGCGACAGCCCCAAAACATCACTGCTGTAGAGGAGATCTGCATGGAGGAATGGGCTAACATACCAGCAACAGTGTGTGCCAACCTTGTGAAGACTTACAGGAAACTTTTGACCTCTGTCATTGCCAACAAAGGATATATAACAAAGTATTGAGATGAACTTTTGATATTGACCAAATACTTATTTTCCACCATAATTTGCAAATAAATTCTTTCCAAATCAGCCAATGTGATTGTCTGGATTTTTTTTCTAATTTTGTCTCTCATAGTTGAGGTCTACCTATGATGCCAATTACAGGCCTCTCTCAGAACTTGCACAATTGGTGGCTGACTAAATACTTTTTTGCCCCACTGTGTATATATATATTACACAACGTTGTATACACACACTCTGTTCATGGAAACCAGTGATTTCCAGAAACTGTATTGTGCGTTACATTTGATAATCTTGGATGATATTTGCACAGATGTTATGTGCCCATCTTCCCCCCTTCAATACCAAAACAAGTCTTAGATAAATAAAAATTGATTTGCAAGAAAAAAAAAAAAAAAAAGATATAGTGACAGCAAAGGTGGACGTATACTTTAACAGTTTTATTTGAAGCGATTCCAAACCTAAAATGTTTTATTTTTAAAATAATAAACATGTCATACTTACCTGCTCTGTGCAATGGTTTTGCACAGAGCAGCCCCGATCCTCCTCTTCAAGTCCCCCTGCCAATGCTCCCCTGACTGCCACCATAGCAAGGCCCTCGCTATGGGGGCACTCGTGTGGGCTCATCCCTCAGCTGCCCTCTGTAGGTCCATTGACACACAGAGCATGGCTTGGCCTGCTCCCCCCTCACTGCCTGTGGCTCCCACTGCAGTCTCTGAGCCAATGAGGAGAAAGAGAGCAGAGAGAGCCTCTGTTCTCCTACACCGCACTGAATCAGGCTCAGGAAAGTAAAGGGGAGGCCCGGGGGAGGAAGCAGGACCCAGAAGGTTCTTTCTAACCTTAATGCAGAGAATGCAAAGTAAAAAACATTTTGCCTTTAGAACCAGTTTAATACTTTTATTCAGTGCTGTGAGAGACCTACCTGCATCGAGCTGTGAGGTCAACTGATGGACATGATTCCTTAGGTCTTCTATCTGTTTTTTGTGCTCACGTGTTTGTTGTTCATAAAGGTCTTTCTAGAAAAGAAATAAAATATAGGCAAGTGAATTAGATGATCCGTACCTGGATGCACCAATCAGAAACCAAAAACACACATTTGTTCTTTTATATCCAAAGTCCCATCTAAAACTGTACAAATATTTTTTATTGTCGCATTGACAGTTACCATTCTTTTTCTATTCTCAGATCTTTTTTATGATTGCGGTGTACTTTTAGTGCCGCCACCTTTTCCAGATCTGACTTGTTGTTTGAGTGATTTGTACACTCAAGGTTATCCCATGTGTTCATAATAAAATGTGTCGGGACTCATACATCAAGTTTATTTTTTAAATAAATAATATTGTTGAATCTCTCTCTCTCGCTCTGCAGAAAACGACACACATTAATCCTTCTAGTGCCAACCTATAATTCTCCTCTCCATTAAAAGATAATTTTTCAGTTTTCAGCGCTATGATAGTGACTGACAATTGCTCAGTACACTGTACCCACATTAAAGTAGTTGTAAACCCTTACCTATACCCAATTAAGTGACTGCCCTTGGGTGATAGAGATGAAACAAATCATCCTGCATAAGATGTACCTGTTTATCTGCAGCATTTGCCCTGTACATCCTTGTAAAACTCAGAGAGTAAAAGGATTTTTCAAAGTCTCACAAAGTAGGGGGTGAGGAGCTGCAGTTGCACAATGTACAAGAGCTCTGAGAGCTGATTGGAGAGAAGGGACACACCCCCATTGACACAGCACACAGGAGCAGAGGCTGTCAATTACAGGCTGTGTGGGGGGAGGTCCCTCCCCTGTCAACCTCTTATCTCTTGGTGTTAGGAAAATTTGTCAGAAGTGACTGATAGCAGAGGAACTAGACAGCAGAGAGAAATGACACTCAGTACTTCAGAGACAGATGTAGAAACAGGTATAACAGCACTACCACCTTCTCAATCCACAGCTCCAACCCAGTGCTCAGACTGTGAGGCTTCTGATCCCTCTGTAATGCAGAATCCACAGCAGTCTTCCTCTATTGAAGTACATGAATTATAGCTGTAAAAAAAAACAGGCAATGCATTTCGGCCGTCAGACCTTAGTCATGGCCACGACGAAGGCCTGACAGCTGAAACACGTTGGCTGTATTTTTACAGCTGTAATTCATGTAATTCAATAAAGGAAGACCGCTGTTTAAATATATCCCAGGTGCCAACTTTTATTCCTGTGGCTTTTGAGACAGATAGAGCTTTCTCTCGTTTGCATTATTAGACACTTTTTTTTTTTATTTTTACTATATATAAAGAAAAAAAAAAAAAAAACTTTTTTGAAAAAGAAAAAAAAAAAAAACCACAAGCATTTCTTCTACTGCTATAAAGCATATACAATAAAAATCCTAGGACAGTACAAACACCCCTGAAATTACCCCTTTTTGGAATTGTTGCCACAATTTGTTTGGGAAATGAAGAAACATGCTAGCATTTAGAATGTTAAAACACAGAGCAGAGAGAGGAGTTAGTGAGGGAATTAACATACAGGTCACAAACAGGGGGAAGAGGGAGATGGTTAATGTGTGAAGGGCGGCGAGAGGGTTAAAAGGGAGATTAAACACTTGTTGTGCACGACATTATTTTTGTTTTTCACACACATGCCAACATCAGCACTTCTGCAAGAAATTACTTAGAAGATACATAGATATTAATTATCTCGCCTCACTTCAATGAAGCATAAAGTTGCCTGCCTTATGCTCCTTTTACAGGGCATGCCATTCTATTTCTCAATATGTAAGGCAGATTTTGATTACACCCTGTAGCTCTCAGATGATGACATACAAAATGGGATTAACATATAACAAAATAATTATACTGAAAATTATACACGTGTGAGACAGGAACACCATTTGATGGCAGGTTTCATATCCCTAGAAAAAAACAAAGGCAAAGCTATTAGGGCGTACGGAACTGGAGTCACCCCTGGTACCAACAAGATAAAGTCTCACCTACGCCCTTTTCCTCATTGTGGAGACCACCTAAAATCCACTATATATAAAATAAAAAGTTTTTTTTTATGATAATAAAGCTGGACTCTAGGGAAACAGCTAACAATATAATAGCTGTTTTATTTTGCAAATGATTTGTATTTCTGTCCGTCCAGTCCAAATAATTACACAGCTCTGCGCCACAACACAATTCTGTCTAGCAGAGAAGGGGACCTGATCTTTCTCTGCTGCAGTTTCAGTTCAACTTGCAGGTCTCTCCTCAAATCTCCACCCTGTGACCAAAAAGTGCAAGAAGAAGCAGCACATTGATGAAGTTCTTTCTCAGCCCTCTCTTCCATTCAGCATGTTGTTTGCAGTGAAGCACACATTATTGCTTCCTTGTGTCACTTTTTTTCCCTGTCCCTCTCACTCTCTGAGCTCTCAGTACTTGCACACACTGCTTATAAATATTTCAAGCTAACGGCAGCCTTTCAGACTGAAGCTATACAGCCACCAAGTTTTGCTTCTATGAACCCCCTCCCCGAAACTCTTCTGCCATGTTTTTCAAAAACTCTGCTATCCTACCTGCGGGCCTGGGATTTGCAAGAGAGGTGCTGCTGAACAGAGGCGGGGAGCATTCCATTTGCTTTAGTGGAGTGCAGGGGGGGGGCTCATAGGGGGCAGAAAAAAGTTAGGCAAAAAAAGTGGAAAAAACATTCAAGCACATAACCTCCCCACCCCTCCCCCTGGCCCATATTATCATACACATTATCATGGGAGCCAGATTGGGAGCAGTAACTCTAGGGCCATTATTCACACTTATCTATTTACTTGACACAGCCTCATCTTTAGTATTTTACCAAAAAATGGGTAATACATTGCATTAACATTATCTTGAACATACACTATATTGCCAAAAGTATTGGGACACCCCTCCAAATCATTGGATTCAGGTGTTCCAATCACCTCCATGGCCACAGATGTAGAAAATCAAGCACCTAGGCATGCAGATTGCTTCTACAAACATTTGTGAAAGAATGGGTCGCTCTCAGGAGCTCAGTGAATGCAAGCGTGGTACCGTGATAGGTTGTCACCTGTGCAATAAATCCATCTGTGACATTTCCTTGCTACTAAATATTCCACGGTCAACTGTTAGTGTTATTATAACAAAGTGGAAGCAAATAAGAACAACAGCAACTCGGCCACCAAGTGGTAGGCCACGTAAAATAACAGAGTGGGGTCAGTGCATGCTGAAGTGCACAGAGAGCAGAAGTTCCCAACTGTCTGCAGAGCCAAAAGCTAAAGACCTCCAATTTTTGTGTGGTTTTCAGATTAGCACAACAACAGTGTGTAGAGAGCTTCATGGAATGGGTTTCCACGGCCGAGCAGCTGCATCCAAGTGCAATGCAAAGCGTCGGATGCAGTGGTGTAAAGCATGCCGACACTGGACCCTAGAGCAGTGCAGATGTGTTCTCTGGAGTGACAAATCACGCTTCTCTGTCTGGCAATCTGATGGTTGTGTCTGGGTTTGGCGGCTGCCAGAACTGTACTTGCCTGACTGCATTGTGCCAAGTGTAAAGTTTGGTGGAGGGGGATTATGGTGTGGGGTTGTTCTTCAGGGGTCGGGCTTGGCCCCTTAGTTCCAGTAAAGGAAACTCTTAAGGCATCAGCATACCAAGACATTTTGGACAATTTTATGCTCCCAACTTTGTTGGAACAGTTAGGGGATGGCCCCTTCTTGTTCCAACATGACTATGCATCACAAATGTGCTTCTGGAAGAATGGTCAAACTTCCCATAGACACATTCCTAAACCTTGTGGACAGCCTTCCCAGAAGAGTTGAAGCTGTTATAGCTGCAAAGGGCGGGCCAACTCAATATTGAATCCTACGGACTACGACTGGGATGCTGTTAAAGTTTTTGTGCGTGTAAAAGCATTCGTCCCAATACTTTTGGCAATATAGTGTACATCCTAGTGATAGTAAACTGTCTTTGCTGGTGATTGTTTACCTCAAGTCCTCTCTTGTAGGCTCTATGTTCCCCCAACATGAATCCTCCTAGTAGAACAGCGGACTGGTAGGGCTTATGTATTTTATGGATAAGGCATATTGATTATGGTGTCAACTTGGATGGTGTACACTGTACCTCTACCACTCCTGCAGCTACTGCAAATAGTAATGCTGATGTCATCTGTCTGACTTAGATCAATGGAGAGGGGAAGAAAGTGACTGGCACTTTCAAGGGGAGAAAATAGTGATCAGACCATGCTCACAAATCTGTTTAACTGGTTGATTTTCCCTTTAGCGGATGTCTACCTGCAATATCAGGCCTAGGATTATCAGTTGATCTGGCCTCTTGGGTAGTTTTGTCATTTATGTCATGTCATGTCTGTGGGCTGTTTATAAAAGGTATAACCCCAAAACACAGAATTAAAGCGGAGCCCCAGTCAAGCAGCTAAATAGACTGATCAAATGCATAAAAAGGGAGCTACTCTCCTGCCAAAGGATTTGTATTTCTGTCAGTCCAGACCTACACAGCTCTGCCACACAGCACAGCCATGACACGACTTTCCCTGCTCCAGTCCTAGACCATGGAAGAAATACAGTGGTGTCTTCTTGCAACCCCCACTCAGCATCTCAGCAGAGGTTTCCTATTAAAAGACTGTCATTGCCAAAGAAAAACAAAAAATCTTAACAGCAGATACCTGCAAAAGAAGATCTATTACATCTCTCTGGCTGCCCCCATCTCCTACATTCACTCCATTCTAGCACTTCAGCCTCCTTTAGAGTCTTTAGGAGAAGGTCTGTGTCCTCCTGCTGCACACAGTGGTTCCATCCTCAGACTCTTAAATCACTACAGAATACAGAAGTGTCATCAGAGTCAGAGGATGGAACCACGGGGTAGGGCATGGGACACAGCCACCCGACACAACTAGAAATGTTGAATTCTGAAGAGCCTGCTGGAGACTACAGTGCTTAAATGGAGCAAATGTAGAAGACACAGGCAGCAATATACATCTAATTTTGCTGGTATCTAATGTATGTGTGATAGCACTGGACCGACAGGAGTGAGGCTTGGTTCTGATGGATATACAGTGGAATGCATTTCTTGCTTCAAAAGCAGCAGATCACTGATGATGGAATAATGTACGTAGACCATGCTCTGGTCATAGGCTGCTACCTCACTGACTGCAACAAAAGGAGAGCTCAGCCGACTATAAATTCTTGGGTGGGTAATGAGGAGCACCTAATACCAAAGTACATATCAATAAAAGGTCACTTTGAAATGTTTACTGGTTCAGCGCATCAAATATCCAACAGGTTTTGGGGAAAGGCCTCCCCCATTTTTAAGGTTTGAGCAGTGGATGTTATTAGAGTCACAATGAGATGCAATAGAAGATCTCTTTTAGGGTTTGGTAAAGACTGTTATTTTCAAAGGAGTTCACTTTTTTAGAAAAAAAATAATACATGGACTTTTTTTTGCAGGTAAAAAGTGAAAGAGGTTTATATAGAGTGTTGGAACGTGTTTCAATGTTTGGTGCTTTTGACATGAGTCTTCCTCCATCGTGCTCACATAGTATCGCCTGGACTCTGGGGAAGGGGCTGGTTTCCTCCCCCCCCCCCCCCCCCTTTTTTTTCTCTCCCTCTCTCACCACCTCATCCCCCCTCTCCCCCTACCAATTCCCTTTTTTTTTTTTCTTTGCAATCCCTCTTCACCTCCAGTTTCTCTGATCTTTTCTAGACCTGGTGTTTAACTTTTTTTTTTGGCTCAGGCTCATGGAAACAGGACACTTAGGGTTTTTCCTTATATTTTAACACTCCTTGCTCCTCCACTGCTAGGTGGTCTCATCCAGTTCTATTGTTTTTTATTTGGGCAACTTTTTTAACTGTCGATGTACAGTTTTTGGGGTATTATGCACTTTTGTAATTCCAGGCTTGTGTTATTCTTGCGTAACCCCTAAGAGATGATTTGTTTGGCTTTTGTATACTATTACATTATGCTACTGGTACCAGTTTCCCTTTTTTGTATGTACTGTTGATACACTTTAATAAAACCTTTATGGGGAAAAAAAAGTGCATTTATATTTTTTTTCTTAGGAGGCTGTCTGCATTGCTCCCGTGATCTGCAGATCACATGTGCAATGTTAGGCTCCTGGACAAGCAGCTACTGAACTCCAGGAGGACAAATGAACTACAAGAGTGCTCACCAGCCCCATCACAGTTCATTGAGGACTACAAGCTGTCTGCTGCAATGAAATATGGTACTTGTAGTTCATGCATTTATCCACTGAATTTTGTGAAGGAATTGTGACAAGTGGGTGCGGGGAGAATATCCCCCGCCTGCTCTCACAACAGGGGATTGGGTTAGGATGCTGACAAATCCTTTAGATTTATCCTTCTTTCCTTTATGTTTCCATTGTTAGTGATATTAAAGGAACGCTCTGTAGGCGTCTGCTGTAGTTCCAGGGTAGTTTGAGCACATGGTCCTCTCTTTTGTGGGATCCTGGTAAGAAATATGTCACACTGGCAGGTGGGGTTTTGGAACACTTTTCCATTGAATATCACATATGCATCACGTGTACATTGTGGACCTTTTATTTGTGGGACTTTTGTTCACTTTATGTGTTTACATATAGATAAATAAAAAGTTCATATTTCTTAAGTATTTATTGGTTATGAAGCTGATTCTGAAGTATGGACATATGAATATTTACTATTTATTGATTGCACTTTTTATTTGCACATTTATGATTTTGAAAATTTTTAAAGGGGACAGCACACCAGTCTTTGAGTATGCTTTAGTAACATGTTACACCTTAACTATGGGTGTACTATGTTACTAACAGTGAACTTAACCTTTAATGGCAATACAAAATGCCAGCAGTGTTCTGCTGGGACCTGCTTTTACGATTTGTTTGGCAACGACAGTGTCACTTTAAATGCCTTTTCGGAATCAAGATCTAAAATAAAGGAAAAACAGAGACTGAAAAAGGATATGCAGCGAGAGTCCCTTTTCTTCAATAACATGGTAAGCATGCCAAATTGGAAATGAATCATATTTTGCACTGCGTTCAGGCAACTCATTCCATCAAGAACTGAGCGCGACAACTGTGAAAGTCTGGCCCACGCTTCAAGTCGCTGACAGTGACCGTTTACCTTTTGCTGTAGTTCTTTTTTATAGTGCTCCTTATCCATACATGCCTGACGATATGCTTCGTAGGCTCTGTTAAGTGGATCTCCTTGGCTTTTATCCATATTTCCCAGTTCTGTATCATCACTAAAAAGGGTGTGGATAATAGCTGCAACCTTCAAAAGATAGAAAATAATGAAAACTCGCCTGAATCACAGAAACATTTACATAACCAGATTACATCACTGAAATAGTTACCTGAAAATGACAAAGAATTGTTTCCCAACTGTTGTGCTCAGTGTCTTGCTCAATCAAGTCATCCTCAGGAGGTTTAGCAATATACTTCTACCTACAGGAAATAGAATGAAGAATAAGGTCATGAAATGTATTATGGTTTTCTATATTGAAGGGTCACAATAAAAAGCTGACATTATTTACCAACATGCCCAAATCATTGGGTTATAAATACCAATCAGCTTTGTGGAGTACTTCTTTTAGTCTAGGTTCACATTGTCACACTGCAAGTGATTCACACAGGAATCACAACCCATTCCTGAGCAAAACACATGCAATTCTGTGCAGTGTGATTTGAACCCATTCATTTTGGATGGCTCATATATCGATTCACGCAAACGCACTGCGTTCTGCAACCTGCTGTTGAGGTACTGTATTGTTAACTTTTAATTGATACCCACTGCAGATTCCATGAACACCATGCGATTGCTGTACGGTGCAGGAAAAGGAAATGCAGCGATTTCTGTGTTTCCCGTACCACATCAGTGTGAACTGGGGCTTAAGCAAACTTGAGGATGTAAAGATACTATTCATTTGTTTCCTCTCCACCCCCCTCATACTTGTCATCTTTAACATTTAAAAAGAAAACAAAAAAAAACAAAACAAAACAAAAATAACACACCTTGAAGAAGAAAGCAACGTTGCTGTCTTACAACTGCTGAACTCCTATACTTTACAGTAGTGTCAGCCTGAAGGAGAAGTATAACTAGCCTGCTTTCAACTGGTGACGTGATGTAGGCTGGGGCTAGGAGAATACTTGTACCATGACTTAAAGGCCAAGTTCACTTTTGTGGGCAATAAATAAATACACATTTTTTTCAGGAAAGAAAAACAAAACAAAAAAAAAGTTGCAACAGCCTGTAAAGTACTGCACCGCAGTGCATCGTGGGTGCAATGTCAGGCTCCTGCACATACTTCCTACAGCTCTCTGCTTGTACCTCTCCATAGTCTTTCAGTTGCAGAGCTGTGAGCAGTGCCAATGGACTACAAGTGTGAATGCAGATGAATGCACTTGTACTCTCTTGAGAAGTACAAGTCCATCTGCTGCAGTGACAGATGGGACTTGTAGTTTATAAATTCACAGATCTCTGTAAATGAATGACGCGACTGAGGGTGGAGTACCACACAGCCGCACTGATTTTAAATGTGACAGCGGCTGCGGTGGATAAAAACCATATGGGTAAATACTGGTGTAACATGTTCCTATAGGTGAACCTAGCCTTTACTGTACTGGCACTTGCTAGGTAGCCATTATGTAAATAAATAAAGCCCCAGGCCAGCTCATCTTATTATTGAAAATATAGACAGACGCAGTTCTGCTAGTACTGAAAGCGATGCATGGATACATTTGTCATTCAAGTTGGTTTTGGCAGCATCAGCCTGCACCACACTGCCAGGAGAGAGACCATCGCATTCAGGGTGACAATAACTCTAATATAGAGGACCCGAGGGAAGAGAGTGTGTACCTTACAGTACAGTCGTCAGGAGATAGAGAGAGAGAGAGAGAGAGAGAGAGAGAGAGAGAGAGAGAGAGGGAGAGAGAGCGAGAAAGAGAGGGAGAGAGAACGAGAAAGAGAGGGAGAGAGAACGAGAAAGAGAGGGAGAGAGAACGAGAAAGAGAGGAGAGGGAGAGAACGAGAAAGAGAGGGAGAGAGAACGAGAGAGAGAGAGGGAGAGAGAACGAGAAAGAGAGGGAGAGAGAACGAGAAAGAGAGGGAGAGAGAACGAGAAAGAGGGAGAGAGAGAGAAAGAGAGGGAGAGAGAACGAGAAAGAGAGGGAGAGAGAACGAGAAAGAGAGGGAGAGAGAACGAGAGAAGAGAGAGAACGAGAGAAGAGAGAGAAAGAGAGAGAGAACGAGAAAGAGAGGGAGAGAGAACGAGAAAGAGAGGGAGAGAGAACGAGAAAGAGAGGGAGAGGACGAGAGAGAGCAAGAAGCGAGAGAGCAGGAAAGCGAGAGAGCAGGAAAGCGAGAGAGCAGGAAAGCGAGAGAGCAGGAAAGCGAGAGAGCAGGAAAGCGAGAGAGAGAGAGAGCGAGAGAGAGCAAGAAAGCGAGAGAGAGAGCGAGAAAGAAAGCGAAAGAGAGCGAGCGAGAAAGAGAGCGAGCAAGAAAGCGAGAGAGAGAGAGAAAGCGAGAGAGAGAGAGAGCGAGAAAGCGAGAGAGAGAGAGCGAGAAAGAAAGCAAGAGAGAGAGAGAGCGAGAAAGAAAGCGAGAGAGAGAGAGAGAGCGAGAAAGAAAGCGAGAGAGAGAGAGCGCGAGAAAGAAAGCAAGAGAGAGCGAGCGAGAGAGACACAGACACACAGACACCCCCCCCCCATCAATTTTTTTTTTTTCTTCTATGGGATGGGTGGCCCACGGTAATGCACACCTCACTGCATAGTCCTATGAAAGTAAATATATATGAAAATAGGATGGAGGATGGGCACTCCCACCAGTGGCTTTAGACTACTGCAATGTGACCTTGATGTGATTTCCAGTGCTAGTATGTGGTGCTCCTTTACATATTCATATTCAAGACACTATAAAATTGCCCCAAAGTAGTACAGGAACCGGTTTCAAAATCACAGCATTCTGAGTCACACTGATGTGAATAGACACCACTGAGAAACAATGAGATTTCCCTTGTCATGCCTCAAGATGTCACACCAGTATGGACCAGGTGTTAAACACCAACATGCAGAGCAGCTTTGGCAGACCGATCATCACAACTGAGAAGAGGATAGTGGGGTGAGATGATCTTTGCTGCATGCTAGTCTATTTCCTTAACAAAAAAAAAACAAACAAACTTGTAAACCTCTGTGACCGGGTTCCTTTTACAAGCTGGATTTCCAACTATTCTGGTCTCCTGTAAACCTATAATAAAAGTGCTGGATGAGTCACAAAACCAGGAGAGAGCAAAGGCAATGTACCTGCTACAAACATAGCAAAAGGAATGTACAGGTGTCATAATGACACAAGAACAATTGGTTTCTGCCTCATCTGGACATCAAATATTCAGCTGAAAATATGAATCTAAAATTAAACTGATATTAAACCCAAAAGCAAACTTTTAATATATTGTAGCTTAACAATTCTTAAATGTGGTAGCTGCATTTTTCTTTTTTAGGCTTTCATTAATTTTTTACCTGGTGATCCAGCCAGTAAGTCTATTATTTTTCAACAGCACAAACTCTCCAACAAATGTAGCAGTTAGAGGGTTTTAGAACAATTGCCTGTAAAAGTCAGACTGTGCCTGTATGGTGATCACTGCACGTTTGAGCATTTACATGATGTGTACAAGGACAGATGAACAACCTTGGATGCAAACGGTCTATGGACGCACATCTCTCCCGGTATCCAGGTGAATGCTCAGATCTGCAGCTACCAGCATGCAGGCGCAGCCTGTCATTGATTTTTGCAGGCGGCTGTACGCATCACCTGTGACACCAAAGTGCAGAAATACACTTGTTTCTGACAACCATGTGTACAGCCATCAGCAAAACTCTAGTCTGCATGAATTCCGGACATGCCACAAAATAACAGCATCATTTTTACAAAAAAATGCTCTACCTGTTAATAAAAAGCCATCATTTAGCTCCAGTCTAGTGCTTTACCTACGATTGAGAAGATGCCATCAGCTGCAGAAATGACGAAGCATTTCCCCAGTCTCTCCCACAGTGATCAGACTGCAAGATTGTCACTTTACAGAAAGTCACAGAGTGAGAAGCTGCAACAAAGGGCTGATCTGTGTCAGACATTTGTAAACACAGCCAAGAAAAGCACAGGCACCAGCATGAACATGATTCTGTTATCTTTGAGCCAGAAATTCAGTCCAGGAAGTAGTTGTAGATGTTGATCCTATCGGAGCAAAGATGGCTTCATTCTGAAGAGAGAAGCAGATGAAGGCATTGTCAGGGTCTGTCATTGCTGAGTTTCTCCTGAAACTGTTTTTTGGTCTTTATACTCACCCTCTGACTTCAATTCTGGATGCCGGTGAAGGGATGTAATCCCAGCTTGTCTACTGCTTGTATTTTCTATGCCTGATTACTTCTGATGAAATGTGCGTGAATGGAGTTGTTTTACAAATAAATGTTTATACTGATTTTGCTACAATATGGTCGGAATTATGCGCTTCTGAGCATTTAGATCATTTGCCAATAAATGAGGTGAAGATTAATGAACAGGAAAAGTACATTCAGCAGCTTCGTCTGAGATCCTTGCCTTGCTGAGAAAAGCGTTGTAAGACCATTTGGAAATTTGAAAGCAAGAATCCACCTTGAGCACAAATCGGGGTTTTCATGTTAAAGTGAGAGTCACATTTGCAGCACTGGTGTTTTGGTTACACATGCAAGAAGGAAAAGAATGTGCTAGATTGGGATATATAGACTGCACTTTATTAATTAATATAGTATCACATTTAGCACGGATTTTAATATTGGTATGGGCAGCATAGGGGCTAAATGGTTAGCACCAATGGGGCGGTACACCTGTCAAACGGTAACGCAGGTGTTCTAAGGCGAGCTCACGGAGGACAGAAACCTCCCGTGGAGCAGAAGGGCTAGGATCCTGGCAGTACTAGCGTCATTGGTTCGAATCCCAACCACAGCACCACCTGCCTGGAGTTTGCATGTTCTCTCTGTGCCTGTGTGGGTTTCCTTCGGGTACTCCGGTTTCCTCCCACACTCCAAAGACATGCTGGTAGGTTAATCAGATCCTGTCTAAATTGGCCCCTGTATGTGTATGTATGGATGTGAGTTAGGTACCTTGGATTGTACACCCCTTGAGGGTTAGGGACTGATGTGAATGTACAATATATATGTAAAGCGCTGCGTAAATTGACGGCGCTATATAAGTACCTGTAATAATAATTGGTATATTTTGTTGTTTATTTTATTTATTTGATTCACTCTATAAAGGCTCCATGCACACTAGCAGATTTTTTTTAAGCTCAAAAAAGCTGGAAGAAAAACGCTGGAAAGGCTCCATGTACACGGGACGTTTGGAAAACGCTTCTGAACGATGGAAACTGACTGCTGGAAAACGTAGGTTAAAAATGTCTGT